GCAAAAAGAACCTTACGAGCGGCCATTTCTCACCAAAGTCTCTCCTGATTCTCTACTAGATGGCTCTAGCAGACAAAAACCAGGATTGAGTAGAAATTGTGCAGAGGCAGTGTTCTGGTCACTCACTACTCACAAATGCACGCTTCAAAGACTAATAAACCTCCGAAAGGTGGCGGCCAAGACCTGGCGACGTTCATCGCAGTAAATGTCACGGATTGATTACACACTGGGCTAGTTCAACAGCGTCTTGAACCCTCGATCTGTATCCTGCCGTCGCGCTGAGGCTGCCTTCTCCATGTTCATCAGTTGTTCTTCCATTAACTTGAAGCGTTCTGATCGCTTTGGCTATCTTAAGGGTGTGCTCACTTCAACCCCGAAGAATGTAAAACCACACGGCGTCCCAACCCACAAGACCAAAATCGAGGTTTTGCGTTCTTACGTCGTCTTCTCATGTCTGTTCACAGAAACTTATACTTTAGCTTTTAAAAATGTAACGCCACTAATGAAACGGAATAATTAAGGAAGTTAATATGCTTGATATAGGATCTGAGACTTTTGCGGCGTGTACAATCAATAAAATCTTCTCGAGCAATCAGCCGCGTCAACTGGTATATACACGGGCGACTTTCGAGGTATCCAGTCACATCAGAACGATGATGATGGGGGACGGAGTTGGTTCCCGAAACGTCGGATTGCGCGAGAATATTTTATTGAATATGCTTGTTTTGTAGTTAAACGCGTTATTGATGTTACATTACGTATTTTCATTCGTTATTGTGTGTGTTTATGTTAAGGATCGCTTTGAATTTCCGATCTTATGCTGAATCATGCCCCTCTTTTCTGAACATTGAGTTACCCAAAATAATACAATCGCTTACCACCTCGAAAATTTAGGTTATGGATTATTTAGAACCTTAAATTTTTCTTGCCGTGTTGTATATGAATGTATGTGCGCGTACATGTTTTTGTAGGCATGTTATCACCCCAAATGACATCCCCCTAATTACTTGTGTAATTAATTTCTGTTGTCCAACTAAAAATGAATCTATTTCCAGGAATAAAATTAGTTTCATGCTCGTGGAGTTAACGACGTGTTGAATAGAATTAACACACCTGTGGCATTTCTCAGAATAAAACCACGTACGTAATAATTATGTTCCGGGTCATTAGTCATAAATGGACGTATCCGTAAATGGAACTGAATTTGTGTTGCGAACTACTGAAGTGGAACGGATTCTAATCGAATGTGGTATTTTCCGTTCCCTAAACGTCGTTCGTTAAAAATTCTAAGCTAATCTAATTACGGCTGTGCTGCCTACGAACCAGGGGGTCGTGACGTCTGTTTAGCGTGTATTTTCTCTTCTGATTAGACCAATCGCCAAGAGTTTGCTGGAGTTTCATCAGAGCATTCTAGGGATAATGTAGGGTGGTTTCTTTTAAAGAAAACATATGCATCTTTTGCCAGTCACACAGGTTTACAAATTTTGGCCTCAGTCAGATTTTGGATGGGTCGCCAGCTACCACAGCTCCAGATAGGTGTTTGGATTTTGGACGAACTGTATTTACGTGTTTTTCAAATCCAACTCTCTCACTGTTACCGAAAGCGTCTAACCATTACAGAATCACCCTGAAGATGGAACTGCAGTGTTTGCCGAAGTTGGATAATTTTCAACTCTCGGCGTGGCTTATCCTCGAAAGCTGAAGTTGCTCTTTGAACTCCAGCCTCGAAAACCTTTTGACAAGAATTCAGATGGTCTGTCGGCTCAGTACAGGTTACAGCTGCCAAATTGCCGCAATTGTAATTTCATCACCGACGTCAGAATGCAGCAGCTGATAGCAGGAAGCCTCAGTTAACACAGACACTCATGTGCTGATGGTACTCTTTGATTGCCAAATGCTTGAACATCTGTGTCGTGTTTCTACACGCAGTCGTCATTTCAATGCCCAGCCATTAACCCTTTGAAGCCGAAGATCGTGTGAATATTATTTATGAATTCAGTCCGTACCGCGAAGAAAACACTACTCCTCACCATTACGAAAATCAGCTGGTTAATCCATCGGAATGGAGAAGTAAATTCTTAGCGAGTCACCCCCCAGCATCGTCATTGTAACACGTTATGCGGAAATTGTTTATAATGGCTCAGTTTTGCTTAAAGTTTTAATTATATGGCTCAGTTTTGCTTAAAGTTACACACATTTTCTTAAAACTTTAATTATTTTAGGTCTCTATGCAAAATACGTAATTTACTTTACTATAAGTAATCTATGAGAATGTTTCAATGAAATTAAAATAATATATATGTAAAAATTACAACGTTAATTATACAAAATGGATTTCAGGAGTGATTCATCGTGTGTGGGAGTTGTCTCCTTAGGACCTGCTAAAAGAATGTTTCCAAAGTTGAGATCTTCGTTTGTTTTCTTTAGTACAATCCGTGACAGGTAGGAGGAGCCAGGAGCGCGGCCATTTCGTGGAATTAACCAAAAAATAGCGGTCATTTATCGGCGGGGTGGAACTGTACAGTATATATGGACGAGCTAGGAAGTTTAACCTTTAACAAGAAGGTCGTGTCGTATGGTAAGGCGGTTTTATATATTTTCGTTATTTCCTTCATCATCATCGAGATGGCAGCAGCTCCAGGGTGACGCCACGCGCTACTGAATTACGTACGAAGTAGAATACGTCTCTCGTTACAAAGCGAGACGTATTCTGATAATGTCAAAGGAAGCGAGGAATTAAAGGAGAGGGAAGGAGAAATTGTAGTGTGAAATATTTTTTTTATTTTATGACGAGGATTTTCGGTTTGTGCGTTGTGTTATTTGATACGATAAAAAACAGTTGGCTTTGAAACTTTCCATGCTTTTAAAGCACAAAATGGAGGTTATGTGAACGTGTCGTACAAGACCTCCTTTCTGCAGAAGCCTTTTGAAACGCAGGAACAAATTAAGGCATTGGGGGAGCACCGTACCCCTAATTACGTGGAGTAAAAACACTTTTGACTGAGCGGGGATGAAGTTTACAGAGGTGGAAGTTTCTTGGCGACGGTAATCCGTATCTGCGTGAATTCTTCGTTGATTTATATGGAGTCCCTTTGTGAACTTTTGAAAATTCATCGGAAATGTAAGTATATAATTGAAAGCAACGTCATCCACTTCAAAGTTAAACAAATGCTTCTGGATTTATGTAATTTGTCAGAAGGAGCGTGTTGCTACACTTATTTATATGTGTTTTCTGTCGGAAATACAAGCGGTTTGTACTGGTTGCTCCAGTAAGTAATAACAAAGGGCTCCGTCGCATTGTTGTTTAATTTTGAGGAACATTTAACAATGCCACTTTTAACTACTTCACAACAGAGACATATAAGCCAACTTCTTTACGAGTTTCATATACAGACTGCAGCAGAGCGTTGCGTTTTAATAAACCAATCACTTTTTTTTAGAAATGTTTCAACCACGAAAGCACGACAGTATGTCGTCCACTGCTGCATGACTACTGAAATGGCGTGAGACGAGATAGCCGCTGACCTTGGTTCAGCTTCCCCCCCCCCCCCCCCCCACCCCCCCCCCCTCCCCCCACAGCGGTTGCCAACGTCACAGCCTTTGAAAATAGTTTGGTGTCTTGCCGCGCGCTGTGATGTGGCGCTCATTGCCGTGTGCATAAAAAGTCGTTTCTTTTAAATGTTTTTTTGAATATCAAACAACTTTAAAAATTCACAAATTGGTTATTAGGATTGTATGAACTTGATTAGACGTTTTAAATTAATGTGAACTGTAAATGCAATGCCGTTGTATTGCTTGTATGAACAATAGGATTTTTTTTAAAAAACTTTCTTGAATACGTATTGTTGCTGGATTCATAATTAACTACGATGTAAAACAGTGACAAATGAGAAGCGTGGACACCTCAAATGACATTTCTCACGTCGAAATATGTAGGAGCTGTCATGAAATATAATACAATAAATTATTTTGTAGACGGATGTTAGTTGAATATAATTTGAATTACTTGAATGTAACGCGAAACGGTAATTCGCCATTGTGAGTGTGTTTACCGAGGTCTAATTCATGGTCCTCTTGTGTGAGGGCAGCACTTGTACAGCGGTGATACAACTACCAACACAACAGCATTTTAATTTGTCGGAAATGTAACTCTTCAGACTGTTTGGACATGTTTTTTCGTATGGTTCACGTACCAAGTGTAACACAAAGCTGACGCGAAAGGTGTTTTTGAGTCGTGACAATGACACATCATTTAAGCTTTGCGTTTCCGGACACGACAAGCTGGCCGGAGGAAACCGACATGCAACCGCTGCTCGACTCAAAGTTCAAGAGTTAAATACTACCTGATATCTGACTGGTTGAATCTGACATCCAGTTATTTATTTCTGGATGTTATTAGTTAATTTGGATTATATCGGTGATATCGTATTTCTGCACTCCGAATTCAAGGTTACCAAATATTCACTTTCATCTGGGTCACACCATTCGTTGTTGTCAGACATATTATTAATGTTTTTTAATAATTCAGATTAAATTTAATGCAATAGTCATTCCATAAATGTTATGTTTTTTGTTTCATTCCGTGGGTAAAGCAGCTATTTTGTTACGTCATCATATTTGCAAAGGTAACTGTCTTCTGCGTGGTCTGGTAGAAGTTTACCAACGTTTCAGAGGTACTTGCTGCCTCCATCATCAGGGCGATAAGTGCTTTTGTTACAGCCAGCAGCACATACCAATGAAATGTTGTAAACTTCTACCAGACAACACAGCGCATCATCTGATAAGACAGTTATCTCCATATTTGTCTCCGTGAGAAACTGAGATTTCGCGACGTATTTGCGGGATCAAATTTGAGAAATTGATTTCTAGGAGAAGGCGAATAATAATAATAATAATAATAATAATGTTTGTTTGTAAGAAGGAAATGGAAGGCTCCACCCACTGGGCATACACACGTATAAGCTGTCATTTGTGTGTCTGAAATTTGAATGTGGTTGCAGGCAGAATTGGAACTCCTCACTTCATGGCCCCCGAAGTGATCGAACGAGAGCAGTACGGGAAGCCCGTTGATATCTGGTCAGCCGGCGTCCTCCTGCACATTCTGTTATCTGGGACACTGCCCTTCCTCGGGACCAAGGGCCGGCTCTACGAGAGCATATGCAGAGGAAAGTTGTATGTAAGTTCATAAATATCGTCCAAGACGTCTCTGAGCGTCGTCTGGCGTAAACACGTTAATATCTGGCCGCGTAGATATACTTTATAATATAATCGTATGATTTAATATACAGACTTGTTTTTTGTCACTGATGATGGCCTCTTGAGGTCGAAACGCGTTTGGTACTAAGTGTTTTTTCAAAGTGTAAACATATATATTAAATCTTGTCCGTCTAATCACAATAATATTTTAAATGTTTATTATTGTAATATTTTAAATATTTTAAATGTTTATTATTGTAATATTTTAATATTTAATAAGAATTTATTGTGATTAGGCGGACAAGTTTTAATATATACTTATTATATCACAATAAGACGCAACTTTACCATCGTATGAAAGTGTAAACAGTTTTGTTTGTGTGCGTGATTTTATATATTTTTAGGTAAGTACAGTCTTAGTCATAAAATTTTTAAATCTAATTTTATATATTATTTTTAATTAATTCCCGCTGGAATTTATTAAATTCTAAACTTGGTTTCGTGGTTTTCTTCGCAGCTCGATTCGTCGCAGTGGGAGCACATCGGAGAAGCAGCCAAAGACCTGATACAGCGGATGCTGACGGTGGACTACACCCAGAGAATTACGATCCAAGAAGTACTTAACCACAAATGGCTCAGGGTAAGTTGACTCTCAGATAGCGAGGCTTTGGGGATTTTTTTTTTTTTTACCGAAACGAAAGTTCTCTCACGTCATAAGCCGCGTCACGTGACCAAATCTTGTTCACCGTTCCGCCACCTGGCGCTGCTTGTGGCCCGAGAGTCTTTCATGAACTTCGCCGCGAAAAGTTCACTTTATACATTTTTCTAACTTTGTAACGTCCTATAACGAGGGGTAATCCTTAATTTTGTGTAGGAACTCGTATTTCTGTGGGCACTTAATGTTTCACTGTAACGAAACAAAGTCAGCGTAGCGCCCTCTTCAACAAGCAATGCTCCAGCTGTTTCAAGGTCGTTTTACTAGTCAACACTCTGCTAGAGTTTCTTGTTTCTTACTAGGATCGAGACAAGGGCGCCACGAAGATGCACTTGCAAGACACGGTCGAAGAAATGAAGAAATTCAACGCCCGGAGAAAGTTGAAGGGCGCGGTGCTAGCAGCTGTTTCGTCCCCCAAATGGACGTCCTTCTACTCGGACCCTAACAGCGACGGCTTCTCGGATTTTGGCGAGGACGAAGTCACGTCTTCGGGTGAGTCCGATCGTAATGCGAGGACACACGATCATTTTTGTCCTTATCGTCCGTCATTTGTTAAGGTTTTTCGTCTCTCGTTAGTTTTTTTTAAATTTTTTTTTTTTCGTATTTCCCCTGAATTTGAATAAGAAAAATGTTTCTGCTGGAGAATTGACGTCTGCATCGAAGTTGATGGTCGTCTTCGGTGGACTAGTCGTTAGGGCGAGGGGGGAGGACCGAAGAACTTTAAGAAAAACGTGTTACATATCTCACTGGACTGACCTGGGTGCGAACCTAGGCTGCTGCAGTGAGAAACCGGTGACTAAGAGCCCGAGCCATGGCCACTCGAAGAATTTGTTCTCATCGTAAAGTTCTCTTAATTGACTGAAAAATTCCTTAGAACTTTATATAAAAAAATGAAAGTCGTGTTTTAATATTTTTCTCGTACGTGAGTCAAAATTGTGTCATTTACACGAATTTCTTAAAGGAAGGAAGAATTTTTTATACTTTTTTACGTTTTCAATGATAGTTTCTTTCAGAAATATTGTAAATGATTTATTTAATTAACCAAGAATGAATTTACGTGGTGGTTCGTCTTTAATGTCCGCCAGCGGAATCTTCCGTAAAGCTACAGCTCTGTCGAAAATTATCTCTAAATTACGCAATTTATAAACAATTTAAAGGAAAAATATAAATGAAACCATCGATGAAGACGGTCGTCTTCTGGGATGTTCCTTGCTGCCTCCATCGATATGACGGGGGCAGAAATGATCTCCGAAACGTCGGCAGACTTCTACGAGACTACAGGACGGGACATCCCAGGAGACGGCCATCTTCAGACTCGCCGCCGTGAAAACGTCCGACGAACACTTTCGTAAGTCGTGTTTTGGTCTTCCTCAAGGAGCTGTGAGCCTGGTTCTCGACTCCCTGGACGACATCCACTGTCTTCAAGAAACGCCTCTGAATGACCGCGACTTCCTGCATTCCGTTCTGGAAGACAGACAACTCCACGCCTTGCTCGAGGTGAGTGACCTTCTTATGAGCCGGGAAAATAATTCCACTGTTCCTCTTGGTCCGAAGTGCCTCTCCCCCGTTCTTAAATCCCTCTCCAGGTGCTTTGTTATCGTCGAGCTCCAGCGATGGTCTTCGTAGCCCAGTTTCTGTGTCCCTCCTCGACGGTGTCGATGGAATTAGATCCGAAAGGATTTTCGTTACAAACTTGTGACCTCGGTGAATATTCAACCATCTTTTTCCATATCTCATTATCATTCCCTC